TTAGCAGAGGCAGTGTATGAGTGCATGTTTATTTCTTAGATGAGATATTCAGGGAGGGGGACTTTTTTAGAGATCACATACCACCTCACATATCTTGCAGGGATTCACCCATGTAGTGCCTAAATATTTTCTGATCACTATGTGTGGGCTATGGCTGTGGTTTTATGAATACATATATAGATATTTTAATCTCTATTATTTATGTCTATTACTGAAGATTTCAAACTTAAATGTTTATAAAGGAAAGAAGAAGGAACTGACACAAGCCAAGTATTTGCAATGAGCCACATATAGAATAATGGTTTTTAAATCGATCAATAGGTATGGATGAAGAAAATTAAAATATAACGATACTATTGAGTCATTTTTCACATTCTCAAGGTTGTGAACTTAGCAGTATTGTGCTAATAGAATCAAATCCACTTCAACAATATTTTATAATTTTTATGCTACATTTTTCTTTTAAGCAATTTCTTCAAAGTTTACCACACTTAACACTATACAGAGAGCCAAAAGAGACTTTTAAGAACACTCTCTGTAAAATAGACAAGGTTTGTCTACCTAGATTTAATTAAAACCAAAGTTATGATGTAGCTTTAAATAATATCTCATCAAAAAATTGTACTATGATTTGTAAGAATTAAAAGTAAAAAAAAAATCATATTTATTGGAATGAACAAAATCCAGAACACTGACAACATGAAGTGGTGGCAAGGATGTGGAGCAAAAGGAACTCTCACTTCCTGCTGGTAGAAATGCAAAATCGCTCATCCATTTTGGAGGACAATTTTGTGACTTTCTTAGGAAACTAAACATACTCTAGTCATATGTTTCAGCAATCATGCCACTTGATATTTATCCAACAGAGTTGAAAACTTATGTCCACACCAAAACCTGAGCAGGAATTTTCATAGCAGCTTGATACATGATTACCAACATCTGAAAGCAACCAAAATGCTCTTCAGTAGTGAAAAAATTAAGCATGCTATATCAGACAATGAAGTATTATTAATGCTAAAACATAACAAACTATTAAGCCATGAAAAGACATAGAAAAATCCTAAGTGCATATCCCTAAGGAAAAGATGCCATTCTGAAAAAAGCTACATAGTATACGATTCCAACTAAATGGCATTTTAGAAAAGGCAAAAGTATAGACATAGATAAAAGATCAGTGGTTACCAGGGTTTGGGAGAATGGGGATCAAATACTCTGTAACAATACTACAATCTACAATACTACAATCCAGTCATTGAACATTTGTTCAAAATCAAGAAATGTACAACAATAAGAGTGAAAACTATGGAATTTGATGATAATGTGTGCCACTGTAGGTTCATTGACTGCAACAGATATATCTCTCTAGGGTGAAATTGATGATGGGAAGTCTATGCACATGAGGAGGCAAGGGATATATTGTAAAGTTCTATATTTTACAGTGAACCTACAACTTCTCTTAAAAGAAATTAGAGAAAAATCCAAGTAACTTAGGAAAAATAAATTTAAAATATGCAAATACCATTTGCTGGCAATTTAGTAGATTTTCAGAATCAAAACTATCAAACTGAGTTACATATTGTGTAAGTCATTAATTCATCTTTATGTCTTGATTAACATATTATTTGTTTCAATGTATTTTCAAAGATTTACTTTCAGGATAACAGTGAAACCATCTGTAAACCTAAATGTATCAAAAATAAGAAATTTTCTTTTATAGTAATGTAAATCCATTAAACTTCGCTAAGTTTTATTGAGCAAACTTTATTATTGGAAAATCTACATTTAATTGCTGACTATCTCTTAGATGAATACTGGTAAAATTACAATAGAAGAACACATATGGAATTTTGGAAAGAAAATTTACTCAAAGCAGGCACTGAAACTAATTATGATGTCTTCATTGGTTTAGTTTATTTAGATTCATTTAACTATGTATTACTTTAGTGTTTAAGCGTTGCCTTAATGCTTACTTGTTCATCAAGGTTGACATTAAAGAAAATTGCATAGTTGAGCAAAGTCGTATGCAAATATATAATGGTTAGTCACAATGTGCACTGCCACCATAAAGAAATTACTTTAAAAGCATGTCGTGCACTATACTTACTGAATATTTAAATTAAGGGATATAAACTGATGAAGTCTTGACTTTGTAAACCATTATATAATCTTCTAAAATAAAGGCCAAAGATTACATTCTACAGCTAGGGGAAAAAAAGAAAAAGAAAAACAGTGATATATTTTATAAAAGGTAAAAATAAACAAAACTTCTGTTTGATATAACTCTAAAGTATATGATTTGATTGTTTAAAACTTATTCTAGAATCAGTTAAAATGATGGTAGCTTTTTTTTTCTTATGATTTGTGCTCTATTGTAATATTTTTCATTTCTATTGTTTATACTGGAAGAAGCATATTGAACTTTGACATTTGCATTTAGGTTTCTAAGAGGTATGGATCAAAAACATACCATTTGACAGTCTCTCCTGGAGACAATGTGATGTGTAGTAGGACGCACACTGGATTGTGATTATTCAGCTTGAGTTGAGTCCTTTTTCTTTTACCTCGACAACTGCATGACCTTGAGCAAGCCATTTTATTTTATTTTTTTTTTTCGGTTTCAATTTTCTCTTCTGAAAAATTAAGGAGAAATGACAAGGTTACCTCTAAGATTCTTTCCAATTCTGTGGCTCAAAGTCTACATTTTTATAGTCAAAGAAACCTGGATTTAAGGCCTAATTCTGTCACTTATTGTTACTTGTCACTTATGTGTACTGGCCAAGTTACATAATATTTCCAAGTCTTATTGCTATATGTGGATAATAATAGTACATGCATTACAGGGTTGTTGATGGACTTAAATGAGATATGGGAAGTAGTACATAGCAAGGGCTTCATCCCTCTGAACTTTCATCATATGTCTGAAAAGGTTCTTTCACATTTGTATTTCTTTAGACTGGTACTGTTCAGTCTGTTTTTCTGGTTTTGGGGGGGGGGTTAAGTTTTTGCTATAGAATATTTACACATTTACACTCGCAAGAAAGAGACAGTAAGAGAGAGAGAGGGAAAGAGAGAAATTACACTGGCCACACTGAAATCTCTTCTCCTCCAGCCTCTTCTCAGGATGTTGGGCACACATGCACACATGCCCAGCATGATTTTCAAGCCACCAGGTTTAGGACTTGAACCATGGTCAGTCATGCGTGAGTCCAGCACCTCAACCACCATACCACCTGTTGGCCCTACTACTCAGTTTTTTTAAGAATCACTATGATTTAATGAAAATAGGGTAAAGAAAAACAGAGTGTGATATATTCTAAAAAATAGTTCTGTAACTCAGTTTCCTTGATATTTCCAAAGAACACTTTATAATATCTTATTAATACACCTGATGGTGTGTGCAATGAAATCAAATAATATTAAATAAATTCTTCAGTAGAAAACAACTATAATATGATCTTTCTAGAACTTCTATTTAATACAGCATTTGAAACTATGCATTCTTATTATCTTATTTTCTGTTTATAATGTGCCACTATGAAAAGTAAAATACTTTTATTGAAATAAGACTTATTCATTAGCACTTTATTGAAAATAATCACAATTTACCACAAAGGAAAGATCAAGGAATTGAATGTGGTTGGCTGTGTGGACATACATGTCCGTACACAGTTTGAAAACACCACAGTGGCTAAAAGGAAGCAGAAATATCTAGAATGTGTTTTAGGGCTTTACTCCCATGCTCAGTTAAAAGCATGCATATTTGGGACCAGCAGTTAGCGTAATGGCTATGTCACTGAACTCCCGATTCGAGTCCTGGACTCGTTGGCTTAAACTCATGCTGGGCACATGTGTGTGCATGCCTAAGATCCCGAGAGGAGAATGGAGGAGAAGGGATGGGAGTTTTCAAGTACTACTCAATTGGTATGTCTATTTGATGGTGGGTAGTTTCCTAAATTCACTTCATTCTCAAAATCAGAGTATTTCATGTTATTTGCCATTAAGTCAGACTTTACAAAACCAACTGTCCGCATCTGTGCTATGGAAAAGATCTCTCTCTTTCCTTTTTTCCTGAAATCTTAGTTTTAATTAAATCATAATCTTGAAATTTTAAACCTTGAAATAACTGAATTTAAGTAAAAATATTTCCTTCATAAGAAATATAATAATGGAGGGACCAGCAGGTGGCATAATGATTAAATTGCTGGACTCCCACTGGACCCGGCACCTTAAAACTCATACCACGTGTGTGTCTCTGTCCAAAATTCCAAGAGGAAAATGGAGAAGGGATTGCAGTGTGGTCATCTCCTCTGGGGAGCGATTTCTCACTTTTTGTCTTTCTCTCTCTCTCCAGGGAGCACATGTGCCCTACAGAGAAAAATCTCTCTCAAAAAAATAAAGTAATAATGGATATTGTTTTAGTTTGTTAAATCATTTAGGTACAAATTAAGTACACAGTAAGTGCTATCTCAATGACTAAAGCACAGTAAATGCTGTCTCAGTGATGAAAGCACTTTGGTGCTATCTCCATGTTAATATGCAGACAGAAAATGAATCTTGATGCATGCTTACGCACACACATACATACACATATATGTATGTCCATGTATATATTTGTGAGCAATTGTGCAAGGAGGGCTTGAGGAAGTTTAGTCTCTGGAAACCAGTTTACACTTGGATTCTAGATACACCAATTCTGATCGTCTCGAGTAAGTTATAAATAGCCCACTGCTCTGTTCCTCTGCTGTGGCTTGAGAATAATGGTAGCACTCATACGTTGTGATGAGGACTGAATGGAGAGATTCACTTCACACATTCAGAACAGCACTGCTCATAATCCACATCATTATTGCCGTTATTGCTCTTCCCTTATTACTACCATTCCCAACACTACTATTAGAGTTTTTGGTGAGCCAAGAAAAACAGAAGAGAAAGGAAAAGGGGACACTTCTGTGGGTGAGCCTTGGATACAACCTAGTAGGTTACATTCACTGTACCTATTTCTGTGGAGGATGTTCGTCTTCTTTGGCATGAGTCATAGCATGTGCCTCTGTTGTTTGGTCTTTCTCACGTCTGCAGAGGAGGCTGGAGATGGCGTGAGGGCATGAGCTCTCCTCTTGGCGTTAGTGGTGCCCAAACCAAAACATATCCACATGTAGGTAGGGACAGACTTACTGGGAAACATGAAGACAATAGGAATAACTCTCTCATTTCAGAGGGGGCAGAGATCTCAAAAAAAAAAAAAAAACCAAAAACAAACAAACAAAAAAAAAACAAACCCAGAAAGGGCTTCTTATACCACTGAAGTAAGCAGGTTGGCAGAGTTTGAGGAGAAATTAGGTGATTGAAGCAGGGGAAGAGTGGGAATCACGAGTGAGGTGGTTAAGCAGGAAAGGGTCCTCACTGCTCACTGGGTTGGCCTCAGAATCAGTGGTTAAGGAGAGATACTGGGTCCCTTGGCACTAGTTTGTTTGGAACTGCGATGAGCTCAAGGTCAAGCTCTCAGAGGAGGATAGGAGCCTGAATAGAGTTTAAGTAAATTGTTGGCAACTGTGTGCACTGGCCAGTGGTCTCTTCCTGACTCTGGTGTAAGAGGAAAAGGGGGAACTATGCAGTCTAGTTAGGAGTCTAAGTACTAGGAAGGGATGCCCTTGTCCCACTCAGAAAACTGGTGCCCAAGCTGCTCGAACATTTAGAGCCCCATGAAGGAGTTGCATTCTTTTTTCAGGCACCCATAGGGAGTCTTAACTAGGACTGTTAGAAAACTGCAAACACAGTCATTGGCGGTAAGTAACTGGAATTGTTTTCACCAATCCTTTGAGGCAATTCCTCCTCCCTCCTCCCCTCAATTTTTTTTTTTTTCTTTCTTTCAACCTTTGAGCTAGACTCAGCACATTTTTTTCTGTGAAGGGTAAGATAGAAAATATTTTTTGGCTTTCCCCATTCTGTGATCCCTGTTGTCGCTACTCACCCATGTGGTTGCAGCACCAGAGCAGGTACACACAGGACATCTGCAAACAGTAAGTGCCGTCTTACAGTTAAACTCCATTTATTGACGCTGACATTTGAGTATCACCTATATTCACGTGCCACAAATATCCTTCCTCCTCTGATATATTTTTCCAGCCATTTATAAATGTAAAAACCACTCTTAGGAGTTGTACACAGACAGGTAGAGGGATTTGTTCTGCCGCAGTCCTTTGTCAACCCCTGTTCTAGTCTAGGTTTTCCTTGAGTACAGACTGTGTCCTCAGTGCCTGCCTCCTCCCCTAGTAACATCGTCTGTGATACAGAATAGCTACAATGAGCCGAGCAGATGCAAGTTGCCCTAATAGATACAATTCCATAATCCTCACATAAGTTCAGAGGTAAGAAAGACCAACTCCATTCCATACATGAGTCTAAAGCTTAGATAAGTAAATACATAAAACTTCTCCATGATTGAATTCAGGATCCTGACTGCTTGGATGCATAATTTGGGCTCCACTCGAGAGTCAGCACTGTCTTTATTTCCCATCCAAAGCTTGATGCAGGCATTTGATGTCACTGAAAAATACTGAAGCTTTTGAATCGATGTATATAAGATAGCATTTTATTTCTGTTTTAATTTGTGTATTTGAACATTTTCATGAGTTCATTTTGTGAATGGACTGTGTTTTCTGCCTGTCTTTCTGGTAGGATGGTCACTGTTTTGTTTTGTTTTGTGGTTATTTGGAGACTATTAAGCCTTTGTCATATGTGTTGTAGATATTTTTCTCAGTTTACGGTTTGCCTTTAACTTTTTTTTTAAACATTGTGTTTTTCTAAACATTTTGCTGCCATGTGTATAATGCCATCCATCTACCTGTCCAGAGATTAAATTTTATCTATTAAAAATAATACTGCATGAAGGTCTCTTCTAGTGGCCCTCACTGCACAGTTCAGAAAGTTGTTTTAAATCACGTACAGGCATGCAACAGATATGGTAGATTCCCCCATACCTGCAAGGGATACGTTCTAAGATGCCTCATGGTTACCTGACCGTGGATAGCACTGAATCCTTTATCTGCTATTTATTTATTTTTTCCTATATGTATATACCAATGGTAAAGTATAATTTATCAATTAGATACAATGAGAGATTTACAAAAACAAAATTAAAAATTAACAATGGAACAACTAGAGCAACATGCCATAATAAAAGTTGTCTTCTCTTTTTCTCAAAATATCTTATTGTATAGTCCTCACCTATTTTCAGAAAGTCGGTGTGGGTTAGCAAAACGTGAAACCATGGATAAGAGGAAATTATTGTATTACTGAGTAGCAAATATTGCTGATATTTCCCACTGCTTCTAATGCTTCTCACTAAGTCAGTGGTTTTGTATGCCATAATGCAAGTAACTGTTTTTGAAACTAACAAACCAAATGACCGAGAATTCACTTTATTGCACAAAAAGATAAGGAATTGAATGAGATAAAAGCAGAATCAGTATAAATAATTTTTGTCATTTCTTTTTCAGAAGGGACACAAAGTGCCATGGAGACATTTTGTGCACTTACTGTTAGCTTTGCATTCATTCATGTTTTCTCATAACTGGACAGAGTATAAACTTTTCAAAGGCATTTGGACCCTTCTTTGGAAAAGATGAATATTTTCAAAGTCCATTAACTCTTTAATCATAATTAAAATTCTAGTAGAAATAAAGATTTTACTGTCGCTTCAGGGAAGCCACAGGAATCCTAGGATATATTTGAAGCATTTCCCCTATACCTTCCACACAATAAATTGCCTCTGGGTGGTGTGAGCCACAGGGAGACTTAATGCCAGGGTCAGATGATCCTCATGCTCTGATAAGTTTAAGCCAGCCCAATTCCAATTCTGTTTGTGTAGATATCTTGGGAGCTCATCTGAGTAACTGGGCCACTGGGTTCCTGACTCTATTAGGCTTATCTGATGAATATCAGCCAACTTGGTGATTCAATGATGAAAATGTGCATTCCAGAGCATCTAGGCTGTACATTCCTCCAAAGCTCATTCCTGCGGTTACTGGGGACAGAGAGGGCTATTATTTATTTATTATGTGGGTCTTGCCCTACTTAGGCTGATTCCATTTACTTTGCATCTGTGTGTGTTACCATTGATGGCTGTTAATAACACAATTTACTAGCAAGATCTTGGTGGTCATCAGCAAAAGCTAACACAAAGGAATGTTTCTGCTATGACTTGATGAAGTAGAACACTCTTGATTAGAAATCTTAAATCCTTCATGGTGTTCTGCATATGTATTATTAAATTATCTAGCCAACAGCGTTAAAAAGTCAATTCTTGTCTTGATCTGCAAAATGCATCATATTACAAAGATAAGATCATTCATTAAAATATGTGGCCTAGGATTTAATTTTTCCATTCTACCATTTCAATTTTGCATTTATGATCAATCTCCTCCCTTAGCTAAAAATAAATTCATAATAGCCCATATTTTTATTTCTCAAACAAATTAACAAGAAACTGATAGAAGTAATTTTTCTTTCTTTCTTTCTTTTTTTTTTTTTTTTGAGAAGTGTTTGCTATAGGGAGTGTGCGCTCACCAGAAAGACAGAGACTGAGAGACAGAAAGCGAGAAATCACTGCAATCCCTTCCCCTTCATTCTCTTCTTGGGATCTTGGGCACACACACTTATGTGCCCGGCATGAATTTAAGCCACCAAATCCTGAACTGGAACCGTGGTTGACTACTTATGAGTCCAGCAACATAGCCATTACGCCAACTGCTGGTCCCAGAAGTAAGTTCATCTCAAAATGAAAACAATGGAATCTCTAGATACAGCCCTGCATTAAAGATGGTGTGACTATTTGCCCTGACAGGCTGGATTTTAATGCAAGAACCAAATGCTGTTCGGGGGCTCAGATCCATAGCCCAGGCTATCATCACACATTCCTCTGTTGTCATTTTTTATTCCTTGTTTAACAGTTCCCCGATCTTAATCCATTATAAAATGCACAAAAGACAACATTGGGCAATCAGTGCCTCTCTTATCTCTTCTGTAGTATGGAGGCAACAGTAAATTTATCGCATACAATCCTTGTGAAGATTGAAAGGGTTGAAATTCACGTCTAAGAAGGCCTGGGACACAGAACATTCTATAACAACATAAGGTATTATTACTAGGCTTACAGTTGCAGAAACTCAGTTGTGTTTCTATAATAGACTTACAATATCTACTTAGTTTCCCATAGAAAATTTTGTATTTTCTTAGAGTTGGAATTCAGAAATAAGGATTTCAAGAAATTTTTAGCAAATATAACCATGATGTAGCTGTTCAGATATCAGTAAATAAAAAAGCTGTTACTAATATACACTTCTACCTCTTTGGCCAGTGTTAAGTTCTCACTTGTTTTCTCAATGCCAGCAATGACATTGATGTCTTACCTGTGAGTTACTCTTACATGTACATAAGGTTGAGCTACACGTTATCTCTTTGACCTTTTACAAATAGTAAACTCTAAAGTTAGTGATAATTAAGTGCTGTGGGGCTGACAGATGGCATAGTGGTTAAGGGCACTGGACTCCCACATGTCTGACCGTGGTTTGAGTCCCAGACCCGGTGGCTTGCTTTCTCACGTTCTTTCTCTCTCTCTCTCTCCCCCCGGCTGTAACTCCGTCTTACTCTCTCTGTCTTACTCTGTTCCTACTCTCTCTGTCTTACTCTGTTCCTCTCTGGTCAAATTAAAGAAATAAGTTAAATACTTCTTTAAAACAAATAAAATTTTAAGAAAGAAAGTGCCAGAGAGATTACAAGTTGTTTTGTTTTTGTTTGTTTGTTTGTTTTATTTAAACCCTAGCTAGGCTCATGCAAACATACTGCCAAAGCCACCTAAAAACTTCTAAAGTTTTGGGTTGTCCCTTCATATTTCACCACAGGGGTTCTTGTCTATGCATGTTTTTGAATTTTTAGCAAACCATCCTCCTTCCTATATCCTCCTTAACTTTAAGCTCTTTGAGGCTGTGAACTGAGATCTGCTCACTATTGCTATATAAGTTTGCACACTAAATTAAAAATTAAAAATATATGTCACCAAACATGGACCACTCTTCATTCTGTCTTTTAACTTAAATAAGAAACTGAGAATAGAAACAGCTTATTCTTGATTATTGTTAAACATTTTGTTTTCAAGAAACCTTGTAATATTTCACCATATACTTTAACTATTATTCTCACTGAACAGAAGTGGAATCTAAGGTTAGAGAGCTCAAATCACTGCTATAAAGTTATATATCTCACCCTCAGCAGTACAAAATTGGGAAGCCAGATTTCTGGTTCTGTACTGTGTTTCCAATGTTTCTCTCAATTTATTTGTTACTTGTTTAGGGGAAAATAAAAAAAAAAAAAAAAACTTTCAGAAGGCTGAAAATATGTTGCAGATTCAGGACAGAAAGCTATCACTGAATTCAGCCTTCTCAGTAATTTGCTGTCAAATGAGGCACGAAACGCTCGAAAGCAGGATCAACAGTGTCTCCTTTGCTGGGCGAGGTGATGGAATCCGAGATGACAGTGTGCTACTACCAGTCAGGAAATCTATATCGCGTCGGTCGTAACTTGCATCTGACATTCAGTCATACTTAGTTTCAGAGACAAAAATATAAAAACCGAGATTCCCCTGACAAAGGTTTTAAGAGCACAGGGTTGCCACTCGGAACCGTGTTCAGTTCATCGTTTCTTCTATCTGTGAGACGACTGGATTGATGGAACTGGGAATTCCAGCCAGTCGCTTTATGACAAAATAAAGCATGTCAACTGCCTTGCAAGGTGAAGAGAGGAAGCAGCAAGGACATCACGGGGCTCGCTGTGAAGGGCCGCGGCATTACCCGTGATTGCTTGGAGGCCGCTGCCGAGGAGACCAGCTGTTGCTTTGTAATTCAACAATTCTGAGCAAAATCTGAGAGGGAGGCTGGCAGACAGAGCTGCAGCACCATAACCACTGGCCAGCCTGGCGAGTGCCGGTCACCGATGGCAGGTGGGAGGAGTTCAGGAGACCGGAAGCTGTGCAGCACCGCAATGTTGACTTCCCGACGAGAGAGGTCACAGAAATGAGCAAGGTTAGAATCGGGCACAACCCTCTGATCTCTCTCTCTTCCCCCACTTCCCCATTCTTTATCTACACGCACGCACACACACACACACACACACACACACACACACACAGAACATTTGTGTCATAAAATGTTAAGTCTGGTCAACTGTATATCTTCACTCAGTGACATGGTGAGGTGGTGAGCTAGTGGCATAAAAAAATAAATTAATTAATTAGAAAACAGGATCATCTTATCCTTATTCCCAAGACAATGATCACAGTCAGGATTCAAAGTACTCTTGTTATCTCCATTTAGAGCTACTTATGGCTTATGGTTAGACATTTGAACAGGGATCCTATTTCTCTCTAAAACTAATAGTGAGATAAGGCACTTAAAATTAGTAGTAGAGGGAACAGCAGATGGCATAATGGTTACCACATGGGACTCCCACATAGTTGACCGTGGTTTGAGTCCTGGACTCACACTGGGTACGAGTGTGCATGCCTAAGATCCCAAGAGGAAAATGGAGGAGAAGGGATTGTGGCATGACCATCCCCTTCAAGAGGGTGATTTCTTGCTTTCTATCTCTCTGTCTTTATTTCTCTGGCAATCACAAATGCCCTATAGCAAAAATATCTCTAAAAAAAAATAGTAGTGGGGGGCCAGCAGATGGTGTAGCAGTTATGTCACTGGACTCCCACATGGTTGACCATGACTTGAGTCCCAGACCCGATGGCTCAAAAAGCATGCTGAGCATGTGTACATGTGTGCCCAAGATCGCAGGAAGAGAACGAAGGAGAAGGCATTGCAGCATAGCCATCCTCCCTGGGAGGTGATTTTTCACTTTCCCTTTCACTGTCTCTCTCTCTCTCTCTCTCTGAGACATGTACCTTAAGGCAAAACACTCTAAAAAATTAGTAAGTATTGCATCTTTGCTATAATCATATTTATTCACCCTATCATATCAGGAAAATGGAGAAACATCTTTTTGAAATTTTGAGAACAGGACAAAATATGAAGTTTTCATGATGTTTTTGAAGACAATCTTAAGTATAATTTGATATTAATTTCTCTATTCTCTATATTTACATATATGTGTATATTTAATATATTGTGAAAAAATATATAAGCTTTCTTGTATTTATGTCTATAGACATCCTTGCTTATGTCTGACTTTATAATATGCAATACAAAGTATAACTGAAATTATAACTGGAAGTGAACTATTTTCTTGACTATCCTCTTTATCTATGGATATTATAGACTATTCTCCCTATAAGTGGGAATAATCTTGAAAGCATATGGTGTGTCCTATAGATAAAAACTATCTTAGCTACCACTTTATAAATGAACCAATTACAAACACTTATTGCACAGTTTTTCCTATGACACTTTATTATATTTACCATATCAGTCTATACATTGGAAAAATCCCTATTAAAAGTAGAAATTTAAAGCAGAATACAATAAAGTTACTGAGTTAAGCACATTGATTTTTATTGAGATGATTAACCTCAAGCAGAAATAATTTTGTTTATATTGCTAATCAATGTTATACAGTCAGAACCTGTGATTACCAAAAGATAGATGGACTTCCTTGCCTTCTAATACTTAATGTCTATCTGCAACATAAAATATGCTAAGAAATACTGTTGATTAGTATTATATCTAAATAGATAGTAACCATTCTAAATGACCTTTCTGCCTAGAAAATAATTATTTGTTAAAAAAAAAGTATGGCATTGAAAAAAACTCAGGAATAAGAATTTTTTTTTTCTTTGCTATAGGGTGCATGCACTTGCTAGAGAAAGAGAGAGCAAGAAAGAGCATGAGAGAGAAATCACCCCCCAGGGATATGAATACACCACAGTCCCTTCTCCTCCATTCTCCTCTCAGAATTTTGGGCATACAGACACATGTGCCCAGTATGTTTTTCAAGCTACTGGAACTAAAGGACTCAAACCATGAAGTCAGCTTTGTGGAATCCAGCCACCTTAACCACCACACTATTGGCTAGACCCAAACTAATGAATTCTGAATAGTTTTACCACTGATTTTTTTGTGGAAACTTGGATGGATAACATGGATTTTTTTCACCTATATTATCACCAGATCATAATGGGTGCTACAGAGTCATGATAATGACTAAGTGAAGCTAAATATTATATTGCATAGGAAAGTGAGAAATGCAACTTGCAAGTATAACTTCTGAATTCTCAATGCTCATTTAATAGCACAGTGGAACTACACAATAAAGTTTAGCCACCAAGATCTTCTATTTGGTTATATTATTTGAAATCATAAGGTATTTGCTAAACTATGTATAAATGATCCAGTATATCCTATTACTATTACAAATGTCCCCAAATTTTCCATTTATGTCTTTATTTATTTATTTATTTATTTATTTTTTAGATATTTACCATGTGTATGTTTACTCTTTGGACAAAGACAGAGCTAGTAAGAGGGAAAAATGAGAAATCATCCCCCAGGGAGGATGGCACACTGCAATCCCTTCTTTATTTTTCTCCTGAGATTTTAGGAATTCTCGCACATGTGCCTGGTGTGAATTTCGAACTGTCATGTCTGGAAATCAAACAATAGTCGGCCATGTGAGAGTTCAGCGCCTTCACCATCACACCACCTGCTGACCCCTCAACCTGTAATTTTTAAGAATTTTTTTCTTGATTCCCAAGACCCAGCAACTGAATTGCCATTTGTTGCTCATCATCAGTAAGTGATATACTTCTTATAGCATCAGTTGTAGGATCTGTAACAAGGCTTATGGTTTAAACATGTGTAATCCATAGTCTGAATATTTTAGCCTTGCTAGAGAAAGAGAGAGCAAGAAAGAGCATGAGAGAGAAATCACCCCCCAGGGATATGAATACACCACAGTCCCTTCTCCTCCATTCTCCTCTCAGAATTTTGGGCATACAGACACATGTGCCCAGTATGTTTTTCAAGCTACTGGAACTAAAGGACTCAAACCATGAAGTCAGCTTTGTGGAATCCAGCCACCTTAACCACCACACTATTGGCTAGACCCAAACTAATGAATTCTGAATAGTTTTACCACTGATTTTTTTGTGGAAACTTGGATGGATAACATGGATTTTTTTCACCTATATTATCACCAGATCATAATGGGTGCTACAGAGTCATGATAATGACTAAGTGAAGCTAAATATTATATTGCATAGGAAAGTGAGAAATGCAACTTGCAAGTATAACTTCTGAATTCTCAATGCTCATTTAATAGCACAGTGGAACTACACAATAAAGTTTAGCCACCAAGATCTTCTATTTGGTTATATTATTTGAAATCATAAGGTATTTGCTAAACTATGTATAAATGATCCAGTATATCCTATTACTATTACAAATGTCCCCAAATTTTCCATTTATGTCTTTATTTATTTATTTATTTATTTATTTTTTAGATATTTACCATGTGTATGTTTACTCTTTGGACAAAGACAGAGCTAGTAAGAGGGAAAAATGAGAAATCATCCCCCAGGGAGGATGGCACACTGCAATCCCTTCTTTATTTTTCTCCTGAGATTTTAGGAATTCTCGCACATGTGCCTGGTGTGAATTTCGAACTGTCATGTCTGGAAATCAAACAATAGTCGGCCATGTGAGAGTTCAGCGCCTTCACCATCACACCACCTGCTGACCCCTCAACCTGTAATTTTTAAGAATTTTTTTCTTGATTCCCAAGACCCAGCAACTGAATTGCCATTTGTTGCTCATCATCAGTAAGTGATATACTTCTTATAGCATCAGTTGTAGGATCTGTAACAAGGCTTATGGTTTAAACATGTGTAATCCATAGTCTGAATATTTTAGCCTTCATAGTGAGCATCACAGAATTTATACAGAGTACTATAGAAAGAGCTTGCTAGAATAAGAGAGATTTGCATGAAAATTTAGCTTTGAAGGCTTCCTACTCTGTTGCATTTGGGCAAATAAGAGTGGTGATATCTGATTCCAAATAAGGGGTATGTGTTGCAGCCTGCTTCTATGTTACCACCCCCACCTCCATCCTGAGCTGTAGGCTTCTCCACCATTTCATTTTTGCTTTGGGGACCACAATACCTCTTATCTCATTTATCCAAAGTACTCTCTTACTAAGGACTGCATCTAAAAGATTTACTAAAAGTTCGCAAGTAGCTGAAGGTAATTAAAGCACAGGACTCAGAGAACAAGGCTAACATTGTTCTTGCTTTAATTTATCTGGCATTTCCCACAGCAGGTCCTTTTTCACTATTTATAAACCACGTCGTTCAAGTTATTCTGTTGCTCTCTCCTTTCTGCCATCCCGCATGCAAGCAATTTGCAAATTGAAGTTATCTTTTTAAGAGGTGTGGGTTGATGTTTCAAGCTTCTCCTTTATCTGGGAACTGGATTTACTTTTGCATATTTTAGTTGCTAAAACAAAGGCTAGTCATTCCATTTCTTCACCCTAATAACAGAAAAATACAAAAAGATGAGAACAGCAGAGTGGTTAATGTGTTGGACTTCCATATGCTTAACCAT